AATACATATAATAATAATATATATAATAATTAATTATATAAACTGAAATATACATTTAAAAAAATCGCATAAACTAAAAGTAATACATATATATAATTAATTTTATATGCTGAAATATAATAATAATTTAATTTTATATGCTGAAATACAATAATAAATGAAATACATATAATAATTAAATATATATGNGTTGCAAAACTTGCATACAACATTTGTATTCTTCTCATTAACTCTCTCGCCATATCGCCAAGCCGGGTCTTTCTCTTTCGAACTTTGAGACATTTTAATATCCCTATTAAGATATAAGAAAAAAAACATAATCAATAAACTGAAAATACATATAATAATAATATATATAATAATTAATTATATAAACTGAAATATACATTTAAAAAAATCGCATAAACTAAAAGTAATACATATATATAATTAATTTTATATGCTGAAATATAATAATAATTTAATTTTATATGCTGAAATACAATAATAAATGAAATACATATAATAATTAAATATATATGCTGATATATAATAATCGAACGAAAAGGAAAAAGAGAAAAAATGGTTCCTTACTCTATTCTGGACTGTAGAAAGTAGAAATAGAGAAAGAAAGAAGAAGAAGAAAAATGAAGAAGAAGAAGAGCGACTGGTTTGAAGAAGAAAGCAGAAGAAAGAAAAAAGAAAAAAAACGAGAAGAACTGAAGAAGAAAGGAGAAGAAATTACCTGGGTAAGGTCTTCGAGGTCGACTGGTCGAGCGACTGAAGAAGAAGAAGATGGAACCCTAGCTTTTTTTGTCGACTGAAGAAGAAGAAGAGCGACTGGTCGAGGCCTCTGTTTTTGGTCGAAGAAGGGGATTGGGGTTTTTTGTCAATTTAGGGTCTGTTTTGTTTGAGACCCAAAGTTTTTTTTTTTTTTTAAAAAGGCCCCTGCGTTTTTTTCACAAAAGCGCTCGTTTTATCGCTTTCACCGCTTCCTCGCTTCCTCGCTTTTTCCAGTGAAGTGTGCACTTCTGCAGATCACGTCGCCTTAAGGAGCTGGAAGCGACACACTGTCGCGTCGAGTCGCTTCGCGCTTTAAGCGACGAAGCGCTCGTTTTTCTGAACACTGGGAGGGGCATCCCTTGTATTTTAGTAATAAGCCACTTACATGTCATATTGTATTTTGGCTAAGGGTGTTAAGGGGCCGGGCCGGGCTAGAGGAAAAGGAAGCCGGCTGGTCTCGGTACCGGTTTCAAAATACCGGTCTTACCGATGGAAAATTGAATCGGAACGGTTCCGGGTCTAATGTGCCGGGCTGGCCCAGTTTTTTTTTTGGGTGTATTTTGTATAACTATCATAATTTATATTAAAATAAAGTGAAAATGTAAACCATAAAAACAATCTTATAAAAAGAATGTTTGAATAAATTTCAAAGGCTTTAAAAGCCTTATATTTGAATATTTCATTAAGAATTTAAGATAATACACTGAAGATGAAAAAAAATTTAACTTATAATTTGCAAGTTATTTTTTTAAATTCAAACTTGCAAATTAAAGTTTGCATTTACAACAACTAAACTAAAGAAAAAAGAGTAAATTCAAATTTGAATTATTAAATATAATTTTCAAACTTCAAAGGTTTTGCATTGCCCTAGTAAGTTCTTCATAATCAATATGAACTTCTTGGCCATCTTCTGGAGTGTTGAATTCAGATGGGTTACCATATGTTAATATATCTCCAAGTTCCTCGTCTTCTGGTTTATCAACATCTTCACGTCCTTGATTTCTTCGTTCTGATCTAATCCAGTCTTTGAAATATACTAAAACTTCCAAAGTATTGCTTCCCAATAAGTGACGGGTGCCTCCTAGTTGTTGTCTTGCTTGACTAAATGCGCTCTCTGATGCAATAGTTGAAATTGGCACATTTAGCACGTCCTGAGCCATTGCGGAAAGAACAGGAAATTGCTTTTCATTTCATGTCACCATGCCAACGGTAAAAATTCCTTTGTGCGAGGCTTTGTTTGCTTTTGCAAGTAAAAATGAAGTTCATCAATGTTCCTGCTACTGGTTTGAGTGGAAAGAAATGTAGACCAAATATTAAAATCATCAAGGCCTTCATCTTCATCCCTATAATAGCAGATGTAGTAGAAGTTGTACAATGAAAAACATTGCCTACATTATTAGCATCATCATCAATTGTATTTGCATAATAATTATATAATTGTTGTAAATAATCATTTAGCTTATTCATACAACAATATATATCTGGGGTTTCAGTTGGTCCAATCTCCATATAAGTATATAAAACATCGATTAATTGGTGATAATTAGACATCTTAATAGAAGGATTTGAAACATCACCAATTAAGTAAATAGGAGGAATTGGAAAGAAATATTTTTTGAATTTTGCTTGCATTCTTTCAACAACGTCCTTATATTTTCTTTCTTCTTGAAATCAGAGAGTAGAAAAGAAATTTCAGCTATATGTACTAAAGTCATAGTAATAGTAGGGTAATAAGCTCTAGAAAATTCAATAGTAGCTGTATAAAATTTATGTAAAAATTTAACATCATTAATGGCATCCCAAGTATTAGTTGTTAACATACGGTTTGGATCAGTATAATGCATATTAGCAACTTCAGTTATAGGCAATCTATATTTGTAACAACATCTTAAAAATAAATATGTATAATTCTATCTAGTAACAATTTCATCTGACATGAATCTGGGGTTAAGGTTATGTTCGGTACACTTAGTCTTAAATTCCCTAATTCTAGATTGTCTATTTTTTCCTTGAATAACACCAACTGCTCTTCTAACATGAGTAATCTCAGTCAAAAATAAATCAAGGTCACTTTTAACAATTAAATTATAAATATGACATGCACACCTAACATGAAAAATTTCATCAAGTGGTGGTTGCAAATGCAGTCTTAATATTGAAATAGCGTCATTATTGTTAGAAGCATTATCAAAAGACATACAATATCTTTTTTTTATTAAGATTGTTAAATGCAACAACTTTGCAAATAGTAGTACTTATAAAAATAGCAATATGACTCTGATCTTCATCATATTTAAAAGTGATAATACGTTTTTGCATACAATAATTATCATCTATCCAATGACATGTAATTGTCAAATAATCATTTCCATTAACAACATGGTCAATATCAGAAGTTAGAGAAACTCTACAAAGAAGGTGGTCAAACAAATAACGTATGTATGTCTCATATTGTCCATGAAGTCTAAATCTAAAGATATCAGATCTACAAGTACTTCTAGGGATACCTTTAAATAAAGGATTATAAATCCTTTGAATACACATAATAAGATATGATGAAGAAGCAAAAGAAAAAGGTAAACAACCCAAAGCAATCATTTTTGCTAACTCCTCAAGATCCTTCATTTTATCATATTTCATAAGTCCTCGAGTACTAGGGTTTAGAGTTCCTTAATTTTCATCTAAATTAGAGCCCTATTCTATAGGATGAGTAATTCTCAGATGTCTACTAAGTGTCCCAGTCCCCCAGAACTTTCTCCAATTTTATGTTTAAAATCATCTTTACAAATTTTGCATCTAACTCTATCAATATTCTCTATTTCCTCAAAATATTTTCAAACTTTACTTCTCCTTCTCCGATGACTAGTAGTCGGGGCCACAAGTGGTCTACTACTAGTGCCACGACCACCACCCCTGCTACCAACTCCAACACTACAGGTGTAGGTGGTGTCTCATTTTCAATTTCTAATTCATTATCTTCTATATCATAATCTTCCTATAATTGTTCATAATCTATATTGTTATCCGATGATGTTTCAGAAACATGTGTAAAGTCATTTAAATTACTACCAGAAGTTGAAGTAGCACCTCTTTTTCTATTTCCTCGATTACCCCAATTAGCAATCTTGTTACAAACCCGTTTTGCAGCATTAAACATATTGTAAACTACTAATAAAAATTAAATATGCAAATAAAATATTAAATAAGAGAAAGAGTTGTAACGAGTGCACCGAATTCCACAATAAATTGAACAGTTGATGATTTTTGAAGTCTTGAAATTGAATTTCGCAACTCCGACGTTACCACGAATAAACTTCAACTGTTGAAACTTCAAACTTCAAACTTCAAATAATACCATAAATAAAATTCCAAAAAAATGAGAGCCCAATAGTTGATAGCATTTTAGGTGAAGAATGAGAGAATGACAATTCAGAATTTGGGTTTGAGAATTGAGAAATGAGTGAAAAAATGAAGAAAAGGGGCTCTATTTATAGTCTTTCAAAGGGATAAATTAGTAAATAATAGAAGTGTTATTTTTGAAAAAACATGCCCAAAAAAGGGCTGTTATTGCAAATTAGCCGTTGGGCAACGGTCAAAATGGCAGTTGACCGTTGCCAACGATCAAGACTATTTAAAAAAAATAAATTTGAACTAGCCGTTGATCCGGTCCGGTTATAACCGGTTCACGGTTGACAAGACCTTACCGGGTTGGACCGGTTATCCGGTATTGAAATTTTCCGCGGCACAGGTCGGTTCCCGTTCCAACCCAGCCCGGCCTGGCCCCTTACTACCAGGCTGGTCCGGGCCGGAACCGGGCCAACCCGGCCCGTTTGACACCCTTAATGTGGGCTTTATATAAATAACTCAAGGAAACAACACAATGCTATGATTTCTCAACAACGCGATAGATTCAGGATGAGGAACAGACACTTGGATTTCTTGCTGGAGGAGGGATGGTAAAGAAAAATTTGCTAGTGTGATTCAGAGACTTATGTTTTCTTTTTTTTTGCTTGTGTGATTAATGGTGTTTTATTGATCTTTTCACCCCCTTCCGTTTAACTTTATTTTGGTGGCATGGGGAATTTGCTTTTGAGAGTGTTAAGCACTATTGCTTGATGTAACGGGTGCTATTTCAATGCATTAGTTGGTTGTTCCTGTTATGTTTCCTACATTTTGTTTTCATGCTATCAGTCAAATTTCAGGCCAGCCTAGGAGGCACCTCCTTCAGAGTGGTTGGAGTGTCTTTGTAAGTTCGAAAAGGCTTGTTGCCGGGGATGCATTCATATTTCTTAGGTTGGCATTGGCATACCTTCTCTTTTCTCCATTCTCTTGTGATCCTTAACTTATGAAATGTTGATACTCTATTGTTAGAGGTGAGAACGGGGAGCTTCGTGTTGGAGTCAGACATGCCATGAGACAGCAGGGTAATGCTCCATCATCAGTGATATCCAGTCATAGCATGCATCTCGGTGTCCTTGCTACAGCTTGGCATGCCATTCAGACGAAAACAATGTTCACAGTATATTACAAACCAAGGTAACTGATCCGAAGTACCAGTGGAAAATTAGTATAAGCTTGTTCCTTAAATTAAAATCTATTTGATGAAGGGATTGGAATTTCGTTATGTATTATAGGACGAGCCCTGCTGATTTTATAGTTCCATATGACCAGTATATGGAGTCTGTGAAAAACAATTACTCCATCGGGATGAGGTTTAAAATGAGGTTTGAAGGTGAAGAAGCTCCAGAACAGAGGTATGTTAGCATCACTGGAAGGAGCATTTTCCTTCTTTAATATTAAATGTGATACTTGGTGGTTTTGACTTTGATATTAATCGAGCATACTTGTGTTTGTGAGCTTTCAAATCAAAACCATACTATTTTGGTGTTGTTTTATGGTAAACAAATTACCTTTCTCAAAACCCCTGATTTTGTAGTTTACTCCAAAATCTTATAGGTTTACTGGCACTATAGTTGGCATTGAAGATGGTGACCCCAACAGGTGGCCTGAGTCCAAATGGAGATGCCTGAAGGTACTTCACTTTGGTTGGTTATCTTTTCTCCCATATATAACACTGAAGTATCATTATTGAATGTGTTTTTAAGGTTCGATGGGATGAAACTTCTGCTATTCCTAGGCCAGACCGAGTTTCACCCTGGAAAATAGAGCCAGCTCTTAGCCCTCCTGCCCTTAATCCACTTCCAATACCAAGGCCAAAAAGGCCTCGATCAAATGTTCTGCCCTCGTCTCCTGATTCTTCTGTTCTTACTAGGGAAGGTATATAACTCACCCTTATATTTGAATTCCATATCCTGCACTGCCTTTATATCTACATTTCAAGCTGAGTGTTTGTTATGTACTTCTTGCACTTTCTTAAAGGTTCATCCAAAAGAACTGCAGGCCCTTCACAAGCCAGTGGGTTTTCAAGGGTCTTGCAAGGTCAAGAAATTTCGACCTTGAGAGGCAATTTTGTAGAAAATAATGGGTCAGATTCTTCTGAGAAGCCAATTGTATGGCCACCGTCACTGGATGATGAGAAGACTGATGTTCATTCTGCATCAAGGAGATGTCTATCAGATAAATGGCTTCCTTTAGGGAGGCCTGAATCATCTTTTACAGATTTATTATCGGGTTTTGGGGTGCAAGTGAGTTCCTCCCACGGTCTCCATTTACCCGCTGGGGGCCAAACAGCACTTCCTGCTAGCTTGGTGAAGCGACAAGCACTGGACAAGGAAAATGATTTCAGCTTACTGGGAAAACAATGGTCTCTAGCGTCTTCTGGTCTCTCACTTAATCTGATGGATTCAGGATTGAAGGGGGCTGATACTCTTTATCAAATGCGGGAAACATCTAAGTGTAGTGGTTTTAACGAGTATCCAACCCTCCCTGGTCATAGAATTGACAATCAGCAGGGAAATTGGTTAATGCCCCAATCTGTGTTGCCTTATATTCAGATGTCCACTCATTCTGGAGAAATAATGCCTAAACCAATGGCTTTGCTACAGCCCGAAGCCGTGAAACCCAAAGAGGGGAATTGCAAACTATTTGGCATTCCCCTTGTAAGTAAATCTGCTTCCATAGATCCTGTCAAGTTGCAAAATAATTCACTGATCGACTCAGCAAGTAACATGCATTTTGGTATACATCCACATCAATTCCCTGCAACTGAATCTGATCTAAGGTCTGAGCAATCAAAGGGATCAAAGGTACTAGATAATGGGATCACAGTTAATGATCAGGAGAAACAATTCCAAACGTCTCATCTTGGTACTCGAGATAGAGAGGGCAAGGGCCTTATAAATTCAACAAGGAGTTGCACCAAGGTTTACACCTAGTCATTTGGCTTAACTTTGGCTTGTGACGTTTTGTGAAGCGTTAATAGTTTGGGTTATTTTAAATTCAGGTTCATAAACATGGTACAGCCCTTGGAAGGTCTGTGGATCTTGCAAAGTTCAATAACTATGAAGAATTGATAGCTGAACTGGATCACCTTTTTTATTTTAATGGTGAGCTCAAGGCTCAGAACAAGAACTGGCTGGTTGTATATACTGATGATGAGGGTGACATGATGCTTGTTGGAGATGATCCATGGCAGTAAGTCCTTTCATCTTTTCTTGTGATGCATAAAGGATGAAAGATGATTATCTTTATGGTGCTTCTTAAGTTTTGCAGTTATCTGGATTCTTATGCTGCTTTTTTACCTGTTGGTCTTGGTGAAACAGAGAATTTTGTGGTATGGTGTGCAAGATTTTCATCTACACGAAAGAAGAGGTGCAGCGAATGAACCCAGGGTCTCTCAATTCAAAAGGTGAGGACAATTCTTCTGTTGCAGAAGGCTCTGATGCTAAAGAAGTGAAGGATCTGCAACTTCCTTCTGAATCCAGTCTTGAAGGTTCTTAGCATGTCCTCCGAGTTGAGGTATTGAAAAGTAAAATGCAAAAGAAAAAAAGGAAAAGAAAATCTCAGTTGGCTAATTATTTGCTGCTGCTTTATTATTTCTGCTATTTTTCGCCCTGGGGACGTGGGCTGAGAGTTGCCCTTCTGCAGTTTCTAGTAACTTGACAACTTTTGATGTAATTTGACAGGTTCATAAAATCTGCGGAAAAGACTACATCCACCCAGCTGTTGCTTTTTTGGGGATTTCTGAAGGTAGTTACCTGCCATATTAAGTCCCTTTTAACTTCTGGATGGCTGGTCTCTCCATATAGATGCAGCTTCGACCCCTTTTGGAGCCAACTTATGGTGACTTATCTATACACAGTATACACACATTATCAGCCTGGTCATAGTCTTGCTTTTGTTAATTTCGATATGTACATACCTAGTTTTTAACAATTATCCTAGCAACTCTAGATGTAATTAAGAAGTTGATACACAGCATACCTTGTCTCCTGTTAATTTATGTACTACTGGTATCCAACTGCTTCTAGTACCCTACATATTTTGTATCAGCAGTTGTGGTCGTCCGGCTGAACATGTATTGGTAATCATTCAAATTTTGATCATAGGAGTTGAAGAAAAGATCATAGTATTTGGTTATTGCAAACAATTCTTATTGAGGAAGTTACTGCTGTCTCTGTAGTTTAACCCCTTGTTGACACCCGTATGTTACCAGCTCCTTTTGCAAACATCAGGGAGCCATAATAAGGGGTAAACTCCCAAATGCTTGGACTGACAGTCTTCAGGGGGTCGATTTGGTGCATTTGGTAGAGTACTGGAGGCGCGGAGCTTGCCCTGACAAAACAGAATTGGCTCTGTTGATCGAAATGGGTGCAGAACATAGTTCATTAATGCGGGCATTTAGAGGCCTTGGTGATAGTTAGCTGGATTGATACCATAAGATGTTTCCTGGATCTTGTACCCAGCCACTGCTCCATCAGAATCAGATGGTGATTCATTTGAAACTTCAGCTTGCTCTGCACATAGGCATTGCTGAATGGCTATTGATAAGTTGATCTTTTTTGCCACTAAACAAGCATCATAGTTCATGGATCTTGTGCAAGCCACCTCGTCAGAGTCCTTGGCTCTTGTGTCCAGTCGCCAGCTACAGTTCTTTCAGTATCTGATGTGATTCCCTGTAACTTCACATCTCGGACAACAAACAGATGTTGCTGATTTCTTTATAAAAAAGAATGTTACTGAGTTAGCGTTGCTAGTTATTCCTGCCACGAAACAAGCCTCATGCTGCATCTCCAACTTTGAGCAATATATCATGTTAAGCTTTGGTTTTAATTTATTAGCCTTGTGTACTGCTTTTCAATAAATGAAACAATCATCGCTTCCCTTCTTTTCCAGCCCAGCGCTTCGCTTTCCCTGGACTTTCTATGGTATTAAGATTTTAGTGATCTTTACGAAGTGTGCCTTGAACCCTCTGCTGCACAAGAGTGCCACTTGGTAACATTTTCGTCACCACCACTTGCACAAAATTTTCTGAGTCAATCGACTGTACATCACAAGTGTTTTAAATGCGTAAGAACTCGTTAGTTTGAAGAAAGACTGCCAATTACGTGGCACAGGGTTTTTTGAAGAGACACGTTGTTCAACCATTTATTACAAACAAAACTAGCAGGACTCACAAAATACATTCAGAAGCAACCTCAGCAGAATCTTTGTTATATCAGCCCTTGGGCCATTGTGACCTGAGCCAAAATATAATGAGAAGAGGCAAAGAAGCAAGAAAATCACAGGATCACAAATGAGGACAGCAAGACCAAAGCTGAGGACAAGGTTAACTGCCACCTATAATAAGTCAGATATGTTTTTGGTAAGGAGTGTCTAGCTAATACAACACTTTCTTGTGAAGAACTACAATCCTGATCCAATTAATCCAACATCGTATATTTTTGTAAAATCCTTAAAGCTCAACATAGAAAGGATGCTGCCTTCTCAACGTGGCAAGATTTTACCCAAAGGCCCCAAAGATAAACCCACAAGTTGCTTCATATGCCCAGGGAAGCTTAGTGGCCAACAGAAACGAACTCTAAAACATGATCACTTGATCTACACAGGGATAGGCTCCGGAGCGGGGTCTGAGGGAGTACCACTACTGCCATTGAGGACAGTCACATTGCCGTCTGAATCCACGTCCACAATAACTGAATCACCTTCTTTGATCTCACCTGCAAGCATTTTCTCCGCCATGCTGTCCTCTAACAGTCTCATGATAGCTCTTCTCAGAGGCCGTGCTCCATAGCTCGGGTTATATCCTTCATCAACCACCCTATCTCTAAACCTCTCTGTCACTTGAAGTTCTATCTCCTTACCCTTCAGCCTCTCAAATACCTCCTTGAGCATGATATCAGCTATCTCCTTAACCTCTAACTTTGTGAGCTGACGGAATACAATCATCTCATCCAATCTGTTCAAAAACTCTGGCCTGAAGTACTGTTTCAATTCTTCAGTCACTAAGCTCTTGATACGATTGTAACTGCTATCCTTCTCATCATAATCGAGATCAAAACCTATACGACGGCCACCTTTCTCTATCACACTACTTCCAACATTTGATGTCATGATGAGAAGTGTGTTCTTGAAATCGACAGTTCTCCCCTTGCTGTCTGTCAGCCTTCCATCTTCAAGAATTTGAAGCATCATGTTGAAGACATCGGGATGAGCCTTCTCAATTTCATCAAAGAGCACAACAGTATAAGGTCGTCGCCTTACGGCTTCAGTCAATTGACCACCTTCTGTGTAACCAACATAACCTGGGGGTGATCCGATGAGCTTAGAGACTGTGTGTCTCTCCATAAACTCACTCATATCAAGCCGGATCATTGCTTCTTCGGAACCAAAGTAATATGCAGCCAGTGACTTTGCCAGTTCTGATTTCCCAACACCAGTTGGACCAGAAAAGATGAAACTAGCAATAGGTCGGTTGGGATTCTTGAGCCCAACCCTCGCACGTCGAATGGCACGACTAATGGCTTTGACAGCTTCATCCTGGCCAATGATTCGAGTGTGAAGTGTTTCTTCCATTTTTAGGAGGCGATCAGATTCGTCAGTCGAGACCTTCTCAACAGGGATGCCAGTCCAAGAAGAGACAATGTGCTGAATATCTGCTTCAGTCACAAGCGGACCTGTATCTCCAGCCTCACTTTCAGCCTTGCTCATCTCTTTGTTTTTGTCTATGAGGGCCGTGATCTGTGCCTTAAGATCCATTTCTCTATCACGTAATTCCCCAGCCTGTCCATTAATTCAAATCCATCTAATTAGGAAATTCAACAATTAGAATACTTGATAAGAAAATAGTTCAACACTATTGATAAGAAAACAGGCATTTTAAAGGGATTAATTAGATGTACGTAAAAGAGACAGTACCTTTTCGAAATCCTGACCGCGGACAGCTTCATTCTTCTCCTTTGTGATTTGACGAAGCTCTTTCTCAAGCTCTTTTGCTTCCTCAGGGAGCTGCAAGGCAACAACAAAGCATTGTCACTCTACAAATAATAGGGCAATGACAGATTATAATAGAGATTAAGGGAGCATTCTGTACCTGTGCATGGCGAAGTCGAACACGAGAACCAGCTTCATCAATCAAGTCAATTGCTTTATCAGGCAGAAAACGGTCACTGAAATCCGAAGATGCAAGTGAAAAGATGTATCGTGTTGCAGAATGAGGAAAATATAAAAACATACAGTAAAATCAATATCACGGAATCCATGACAAGTTTTTTTCTGGACAGAAATAAGCATAGAACGTAATTAGATGCTGGCAAACCAAAAGAAAATGAAAAAGGAAAAATACCAACCTTTATTATCACATTTTACTATCATAAACTAAGTTGAACTTTATGTGTACAAACAAACTCGGTAAGCAAAACACATTTCTTCAAGGTAGCAATGCATCGACAACCCAAAGCGAGAAAAGTACAAAGGATATATATTAGATACCTGATGTACTGGTATGAGAGCTGGGCAGCAGCCTCTAATGCCTCGTCAGTGTAACGAAGCTTGTGATGAATCTCATATCTCTCACGAAGCCCTTTCAGAATCTGAATGGTTTCATCAACAGTAGGTTCAGGGACCTTAACTGGCTGGAATCGCCTCTCCAATGCAGGATCTTTCTCAATATGCTTTCTGTATTCATCTAGTGTGGTAGCTCCAATACACTGACAAGAAGCCAAGTAAATACTATTGAGTTGGTACTTGGAGATAAAAAAAAATTCTCCTGTTTAGTTCACATATTGAGTAGTTAAATAATTTTTGACCTTCTTATGGGGTTGTGCCAGGAAAATGCATGTTAACACAATGATATATCAGCTAGAGCATTAGATTGTCCTTGAGAAATATTCATAATTCTCGTTTTAATTTCCAGAAAGGACAGAAAGAGAAGAACAAGACAACCAGGATAACTAACCTGTAGTTCACCTCGAGCTAGGGCAGGTTTCAAGATGTTTGCAGCATCGATGGCCCCCTCTGCAGCTCCAGCCCCGATCAAGGTGTGCACTTCATCGATAAATAGTATTATTTCATCACTCTGTTTGATTTCCTCCATCAGCTTCTTTAGCCTTTCCTCAAACTCTCCACGGTATTTTGTCCCAGCAACAAGCAAACCCATATCAAGAGTTATCACCTAATCATTACCAAAAAGTAACTCTTTAAGGACACGAAGAAAAGTAGCTGCATCATGCACGAAATATCCAGCCTAATTCCAGATAGATGAGATTCGCACAAATAGGTTTGAACCTTATTACTTGAGCTCACTTTAGCTTGAGCTAAGAATTAAGTTCAACAGGGATGCTAAAATCGTTTTTGTTCAATTAGTTAGAAACATAGATCCATAAATCAATTTACTAATAAAAAGAAATAAGCCAAGAGAGCAAATATCACATAAAAATATATATCTAAATTTCAAGAAAACATGAAGATACTAGGAAAATGATTTTGAAATCTTTCAATTTAGGGAGACAGCATGCATATTAATTTGAACCTAATCCTTGTGAATAAAAAAGCAGACTAGACTGGACCAGCACGACAGTAGCTCAGCTTCTGGATCCACCATACTATACGACAACTGGTAGAAGAAAGGGGACAGTTAAACATAACATTCTGCATGTTATCACACGTGTACCTTCTTCCCCTCAATTGTTTCAGGGACATCACCGTTTGCAATTCTTTGTGCCAGACCCTCAGCAATAGCTGTTTTGCCAACACCTGGTTCTCCAATAAGACAAGGGTTGTTCTTAGTCCGCCGACCCAAGATTTGAGTGACCCGTTCAATTTGCAGTTGTCTTCCAACAACAGGATCTAATTTTCCCTAACAAATAGCAAACTCAAATTATTGAAAAGTGTCCACTCATATTATAAATACTTTTGAAGTTACCTCTTCAGCTAACTTTGTCAAATTTGTTCCGTACTCCTCCAGTGTAGGCATTTTTTGGCCAGAACTTCCACCTCCAACGCTAGCACCAACAGCCTCATTACTCTCTCCAACCATTCGGATCACCTATTTTCAGAAAAAAGAACCAATAAGCTCTGATTACAATGAAGTCAAGAAATTAAACTACACTCAAAGTAGAATAAAACTACTCAGAGGAAGC